GGTCAATGTTCAATGTTGGTTGGTTGTTCAATGTTCATTGGTCTTCCCCGATTTCTTCGATTATTCCATTTCGCAAGTAATATAGAGTTGCCACAAATCAATTTCGGGCTTAGAATTTAATATTGTCTCTCAAGTCGCTTCAAGGCAAGCATTCTGTTGTTTGGTGATCTGAAATTTTCCAAGGGAATTGTACATAAGGACGACCACTTATTATCTGTGCAGTATCTTGGAAACGTTGCCGAATTGAAGCTTCTTCTCTCTGACCATAATGTGGTTTGGGCTTATCATAGCACCTATGTCATCTAAACTGTCGAAATGAGAAATAGGATCACTATCGTTCTGCGAAAAGACTTTAAGAAGAAAGAACTTTAAAGAAAAAACTTTAAAGAGAGCAGATGAAAAATGAGAGAACTCTGCGAAAAAAAAACTTAGATTCTAAAACAATGGGTCCGAAACTTGCATAGGCAATGACTGAACCCGAAGATAGAGTCACTGCTTCTTGTACTGTGAAAATATCCCAGAAGTAATCAGCACCAATGATATGTCGGGTGTCACTAATCGGAGTCCCGTAAGCGAATGAAGTGACACGTCAAGTGTACGAAAAACTACGATTTTTTTCTGCCAGACAAGTTGGTGGAAATGGAATAGTTAGCCGATCTTTGTGTGGAGAGCAAACGATAGCTATCGATAGGGGTTACCCGATTGTTCTGTTGTGCTCATTGACCCAAACGCATATGTCATCAACGGAGCCTCCTCAAAAACGTCGAGTTGATGTGTTTGACCGTTGCCGTACTGAAAAGAACTTTCTTGTGCTCCGGTGTCTACGGAAACTGGAGGGAAACCACGATAGGTAGTCGTTCTTTTGTCTAAGAATTAATCATGAAAGCTTGAACAGTCATTAGTGTAACACTTTTTGCCAATCCGGTGCGTGCGACTAATTGTAAACCCAACGAATCCTGTTCATGATCTGATCTTACATATTCTGGTTCCTCTTGAAATGAACTGTTGTTTTCCGCAGCTTTGGGCAGGGGATCTGCTTACATGTAGTTACTCTTCATGTCGCTCTGGTGTATTAGAATGAACTGTACGGTTCCTGGCGCGTCTCAACTTAAGCCGAACAGTATATACCAAATACTATCGCCTGAACGATAAGCTGGCGACTGTTCCGTACAACTCTTATTTGAAGGCGATCTTGGAATTTCACGATTAGTAGAGGTCGTCATCAACTCCATTGATGATGATCTATCTCATGTCCCGCCCCACGCCTCTCGCCGTCATGGACGCGCTGCCGAGACAACCGTTCACTGCGCTATGTGACTGTTCATCCATTTGAACCGCCACCTCTTTATATCGACATTCCAAGAGCTGGCAGTGGTGGAAGCCATGTTGCCAGGCTCGAGGAGGGTGGTTATCAAGAAAAAAGTTCTGTCAATTGCTTCAAGCACTAGGTTGCAGGAAATTCGTATATGGTGTATCGTATGTGAAGTCTGAATGTTTGTAATTGAGTATAATTTATTGTTTGTGTGTCACGAATCGGTTGGAATCCAGACTCTTTGAACCACCGGAGTGATGCCCTCAGAACGTGGTGCATCGGCCGGACTTGTCATGATACGAAGCATTTGCCAAAGATATCGTGAAATGGTGCTTTGGGAGAAAGAATACTGACGAAAATGGTAAGCAAGTCGCTCAAAAACAATGCCTTCAAGATCTCATCCTCAACACGATCTCACTTAAACGCATTTAGTCAGAAAGGCTTGCAATTTTCAGAGTTTACAAACGGATTCTCAAAGCGCAGGCAATGAACCTTAAAGGTGTGCTCTCAGGTCCCAAATTGTGCACCCGTGCAACACCTCCCATGGGTCATGTGAAAGTCCGTCGACCTCATTTTTTCTTTATCGCCTGTATTTTATTACCGAACCTTTAGTTTCTATCTTTTCACTGATTTAACTTTCACCGTCGCACAATAAGGACACCGAGAAGGAAACTCAGACAAACTGTAAATTCCCTCCTTAGGGACTTTGAGACTACACTGAGGTGACCTTCGAGACCACTCCCCGAGTGTGAGGTGGAACATGGCAATTTATAGATTTATTCTCACGACAAGCAACAACAAAAACACGAACAAAATGCAACAAAGATCAGGCGGAGAACAAAAAATCCAATCAAGTGATCCACCTGTGAGTAAGGCACAGAGGGATACGAGGGAGGTCCAATTTCAAAAAGAATAGGCCGCTTAGGCCTTCCTCAAAGTCCTGGTTTCATCTAGCTCACGAACCACGGTGCTTCGCTCCACGCACTCACTGAGGATGCTGCGTCGGAGGTCCCAAGGCTTGGAGTCCATAAACTCCATAGAGGCAGGCGGGTGGCAGCGGAAGGCAACGAAACTAATGACGACAACCTCATCCTCTCGGGCATACCCTTTTATACGGTTTTTCACGCGCCTTTTCTTTCCTCAGGAATGTTTACTCTTGCGACCCCCCTACCTACTTATCATTGGGTCACCTATAGTAATTTGAGCAACCATGACCCATCGGTGTTTTATTCTTCAAGGGCATTTCTTCTTTTGCGGAACTTCACCGATGTAGTTCTTTCTGCCCGCCCTGACAAAACCCGGAGTAGACCGGTAGTCTTGCCACATTGTAAGGTCGTTCGAGAAATATCTCTCAAGCCGGCGAAGTAAGCAAAATTTGAGGATCCTACGTCATTCAATTTCGAACCAGAAATGTCGTCGCACGACAACCTGATAATGACTGAGACAGTAACTCAAAGAAAACCTGGTGGACGACCGACGTTCGCACCAGTTCGAAGGGACCCAAGAAACGTGGAATTTTCAAAGAATATTCTATCAAATTTCAAATTGTGAGTATGGATGGTCAGACCCTATCCAGTAACTTCTTCTAGCCCACGAGCATTGAATCGGCTACAAATTTTAATGATATTCTTCTAGGTCAGATTGTGAGCGAAATTCTTATAAGCTTCTCAAACTCTCCTTAACGTGAAAATATTACAAACAAAAAGGAAGAGTCCTCAAAGGTCGAATTCACAAGGCATTTGAGATTAAAATCAAGATTCCGGTTCTCGAAGTATTTGAGGTGACGTCTTCGCCAATCCTAAAGCAAAATGATAAAGCTTTCATAACATTTAGTCATTTGTGTGTTGAGAAGCGCACTCTTTCTCATGATAAAATGTTACATCTCATGTTTCTCATAACAAAATAATACAGTACCTCAAGCGCATTCTTATTTGAAGTCAGATAAGAGACGAATATATAACGCAAGCCGGTCGTTTCCCCCTCATTTCGTCAGGCTTCAACGACAGCAACAATCTCGGGAAGGACGTTACACTGATAGGACGATCGTCTCTATGGCCGAACTTGCATTATGGATAGCTGTATGATCTGTCCGTATGGAGAAGTAGGAGACTGTGCACAAAGGGCTGTTGTTTACCAGCTTCAGTGTTTGATAAGCGATGCTAGCTATATTGGAGAAACCGGGAGACGATTATGTGTCCGTGTTAAGGATCATCTAGCAAGCAAACAAAGACTGGCTTGATTGCACCACCACGAAAACACAGAATAGAAGGTCATGCTGGTTGCGGCTTTGACGTTAAATGCACGGTTTCGGCCCACGAGAACAGAATCTGTGCCAGAAAAACTCTAGAGGCTCTCTGGATAAGAGATCGAGATCCAAGCATGAACAAAAAGAATGAGTGCGCCAACATAACGGGTGACCTCTTGCCATTTATCCTCTGTGTGAGCTCTAATAGTATGGACAGATACGTGTCATTCATGAAACCATTAATGGATCGTGGTTGATCGGGAGGTCTCATTCGCCCTATCGTCTCTAAAGCTGAGCAAGGATTCGGTGTTGGTGGATCCGACGTGAGTGACTTGTTGGGATTTCTATCTAGTTGAAAGTTCATCTGAGTTGCAACTAGTTAAGAGTTGGTCTCCATCAAGCGTGATAGGTAGTACTTTGGAGTTCCTAA